AGGAGGAAACATTGTGAAGGAACTCATATCCAGGGAGCAATGGGCTGTCTCCCCATCAACACTGATCCTGGTGCAGCAGAAGCAGTTCAGTAGGTTGAAGCAGTTGGGGCTCAAGATTCCTCGCATCAGGGCCCAGATTAGCTGTTCCTGTTCTGTGGGCCAAGCGATTCCTGGGATATACAGGGCTCACAACTGTTCCACGGAGCCTTTCTCTTCTCAGCTGGAGGTGCTACTTGGAGGCACCAGGCTGTACTTTCATCCATGCCACGCAGATGGCCCACACCACCATCCCTATTGTCTGTCACTCTCCCCTTTCACACAGCAACATCACTCAGTCCTGCTTACATGGAGCACCAGGGACACCATAGGGCTGCCTGACCCACCTCCCTATTCCAAGCGCTGGTAACATTCAACAGCAGGTACTTTTTGGGGAAGGAGTAGGTGGGTCACTCCTGTGGCTGCAACAGGGAGGACATCCCGAGAGCCTCTGGAGCTCCCTTCTTCTCCAAGAAACAAAATGCACAATGTTTTCCTGTGAGTCTCTGCTGACACAGAGTCAGCTCGAAGTTCTAGGCTTAAGATTGGCAGGATCATGTGCAATAAGCAGCAGCAGGCACAAAGCGTTCCCATGTGAAGGAGCACTGGTGAGAACTAAGCTGGCATGGCTTTATCACTCTACTATGAACTTTCATGAGCACAAGCCCAAGATCAAGACTGCAATTGTTCTTTATACTCCCCAGTTCCTGGAGCAGGGGAGTGGGCACAGACAAAAAGGTGACTGAGAGCCCAGGGTCCATCACCTAAAGCCTCCTTGTCCAAATAGTGAAAAATGAATCAAGCAACCTCAACCAGAGCTTTGTATTTTCTGGGTTCTTGAGCTGCACAGGTGCTACTGATGGGAGCCACATCCCTACCCAACGCTTGAGCCAGGATGGTTGTGACTACATAAATCCCAGCAGCTACAACTTGATTCCTACATAGACCTTGGTAGTGCATCCACTGAGGCAGATGCATTCGTGCAGGGAACGCTCGTAATCTGTGTCTTCTGTATCATCACCCCCAGAATCACAGGGGTTGCTGGTACCTCCTTCCCGTGCAAGGAGACCATTCACAGCAGCAGGGTGGCCCTGCACTGTGGGAGTCAGGAGGTACCAGCCAGACAATGATGAGCCCAGTTCAACCATGACTTCACCACACACCCTGAATTACAGAATGCACTGCACCTTGCAAGGAGGGAGGGAGCCTCTCTGCCTCTGCTGGGATAGGGAGGATCATGTTCTCTGGAAGGTGTATGCACCGCTCTTGGCATCCTCTGGACCAGTCAGGACACCCCAGCACAGCATCTGTCTAGGATGCCAGCCGCCCTTTTGATCATGAGGGCCATGAACATGCCAAGTCCAGGACTGTACTGAGAAGGACAAGGGAGTGACCATCAAGACTGTTTCTCCCATCTGAAACATACACAGGTAGACAGCAAATGCGTGAATTGTTTGATGTTCTCCTGGCAGCTGCTTACCTGCCTCCTCCCTGGGAACGGACTGGAGGTGTCTGCACCTCTCTCAACCCCCCCCAGGCCTGCATGCTTCTCCTGCTCTCTGCTGTGGTCTTCAGCCTGCGGCCGCTTTTATCATGGGCACGGGTCCTCCTCCCCAGTCCTTTCTGCCCTTTCATTGACCCTTCCCGGTCACACAAGGTATTAGCACCAATACTGCCTACACAGCCCTCAGGAAACCTCACATCTTGGTGCCACTGAATACGCTAAAAAAAACCATGAAGCTGACAGTTCAGGAGAAGGCTTCCTTGCTGCTTCTCTAAGTGACAACAGGAGATTCTGGCAGTGAACCAGCTGCAATGGTTTGAGGCAGTAAAACCTGGTAAGGAGGAGACAGCTCAGCCACCACCCTTCCAATTAGGCTCCGTGGAATTATGCTAATCCATAAGCACTTGACTCTCCGCATGTTGGATAGCCTGTCCACCAGCTCTGAGATAAGGAAGTGTCTGTGCTAGAAGGGGATTGGAAGACAGGTAACATCTAATACCGAATTTCTGCAAAACTGGCTTTTAAACTAGGGATTCCTGAATTCTGCTAGCTCAAGGTGTGTCCAGTTCTACAGGAAACCTACAGCTTTGCAGATACCACAACAGTTCCCCACAATTCACACTGTGGAATGAACAGAATTCAGCTGTCATGGTAGGAAGAGAGGAAACACCTAGCCTGCAGCGGGCATGCACACTGCGAGGTTTTGCTTGCTAGGCACAGCCTCAGAGCAGGACCGCAGCCAACTGCTACCGCTTACGGGTCTAGTGTGTAAAACTCCTTCTAGAGCGAGTCCAAGGGGAGAGGAACTTGCAACTCCAAACACCGTTAAGGAAATACGCTTCCTCCACCCAGAGGGACCGAGAGGCTGAACAGATGAAATCACCCCGCCTTCCCTCCCAAATCTTCTGCAAGTTCTGCATACGTCTAAAACTTTTCTTCTATCAAGGATGCGTTTCAATTTAGACACTAGTTTCACGACTGAAGATGTCCTGACAGGCAGTTCTTCAACAACTTTTCTCAATTCACAGATCTCCCTCTTTTGTCAGGACTATGCAAACACAGGGCAGCTGAACACACGGGGAGCAAAGTTCAACAGCAGACACCGAGATCTGTAAGTACCTGAGCTATGCTGCTACAAACCTGAGATTACCAGGAGCACAACTGTACTGAGCACAACTAACAGGTAGTGTCTACAAACCCAAGACAGGTTAAATCTTAGTTAATTTGTCCTGTTTCCAAACATTAAAAAAAACAAACAAACAGAAAAGGCTACTCTCTTGTTACACAAACCCAGTTTCATTTTCAATCATTTCTGGGAATTCTGACCAAGAAAAGCATTCCCTCCTCCTCCCAGTGCACTCACAGCTTCCAAATATGCATTTCAGAGCATCTACTGTCAGTACAGTGACCTTAAAAACTGAGACTAAATACATTGGCAACTGTTGCAACACACAGCGCCTCTAGAAGCCCAGCTCTTAAATGAGACCACCGCATGCTATCTAATCTTACTATTCCACATTACTGAAAATAAATACAAAAGTTTACAACTACCCACCACTTATAGTGACTGTTAACCATTTCATCACGATGCTACAACTAATCCACTTGAATCTTGACAGAGGTACAAAACAAACACAGAACCAAAATAACTTACACAGGAATGCATGAGAAGAAAATTTAAAATACCATCACTAAAGATCATAACCAGTAAAACCCCTCCACTTAAGTCCTTCAGGCACAAAGCCTAATGGAAAACGATGCTTATCTTGTGAGTCAAATCCCTATTTTCAATTGCTGTGGAAATCCACAAGCCAAAGCAGCTAATAAGGGTCAGAGGCTTAGTATACAGGCCTAGCAGCTCCAAGAAATGGCCCACTTGATGCTAAGTGCACGAGCTACAACAGTGAAAGTTATGATAGATTCATCAACCCTGCTTCAGGAGAGGCTGGTGCACTCCATGCACAGTACGTACAGTGTCAAAATACAGTACTAACATCATGTAGCAGCCTGTTGATGGGTAAGCTTTGTTCCATCCTCTTCAAAGCATTTCCAAAGTCATTCTGATTATACAGCCTGCTCCATCTTCCTAGATCGGAGCTTGGAGGAACTTCAAACACAGTACCTGCTCACTGTGACTTTGAACCTCCAGTGCCTAAAGCCTGTCACCCTTAAATAGCAGGCCAAGCCAGACAATGACTTCAACATCCAAAAACTACATTCCATGAGAATGCTAACACCCAGAATGAACATTAGGTAAACAGAAACAGCCATTAGTCCCTTAATTTATAGGCAATCTGCACAGTTTGACACTTCTGCTTGAGGGACACTTCAGAATTAAGGGAAAAAGCCAACTTGTTTACCTCTCCACTTCTTACTCCCAAACTCACTAGCTGTCCTACAATTGACTATTCAATAATTTTCAACAGCCAATACCTACGAATTGCTTGAGGTCACCACCTTCTCTAGTACGTTACTCTCTCTACATGTAGAGACTAGTTTTGCATCACTTACTTGAGGTGGCCAAGCAATGCCTTATATCACACTAAGAAAGGTAAAATAATATTTGTCCGTATCTGCAACACAGTTAAGCTCGAGTTCACGCATGCTCAAGGCTAACTAAGCAGGCTGCCTTCAGCACTTTCTTTAGCAAGCTTCACACTGTCTCAAACAAAGCTCACAACAACAGCATCAGTTAGCAAGCAGTCGGCTGAAGATGTTCTTCCATTCAAGAAACACTGGACAGGCAGCACTGGCTTTTCGTGAATGATCAGTAAAATCAATGGGATGAGAGGAATGCATGAGAAGACCCAGGCAGATGTTTAAATTCAACAGACAGGCAACAAACAAAATGTGTTCATCTATGCCAGCCACTTCAAATGATAAAAATCAAACTACAAAGGCTGGTAGTTTTGGAATTAAAGCTTTGCTTCTAAACTGCTACTAGTTCCTAAGAACACTTATTGGCAAGGGCATGTTCTAAAATTCCTTCTTTTCCAGGTTACAACGGTCAAACACCAAAATCTGCCCACAGCCATTTCTCAAGAGGTTGCTTTCAAAAACTGTTTCCACAATTTTTCTTTGGTATTAATCTGAAGCCTCCTAGACAAAAGCTTTTATCAATGAAATCTGAAGTTCATTATCCCTTTTCCCAGAAAAAAAATTAAACCTTCAAGTGACACTGTACAATTCTTGGTATATGCTTAGTTTGTTGGTGAAATATTCCATATCCTCTCGTATCATCTCATTAGGTAATCAAAGAAGGATTATCATCACTAAGCATGAGCAAATTACAGTGCCCCTAGGATTTGTGGTTATATAAACGACTAAACTGATCATCAAAAGCTGCAGATGACTTACATGACCAAGCACCATGTAAAGAAAGTTAAATAAACTTCAATAAAGAAAAGCCTTCTAAAGCATCTGTTCAAAAAAGCCTAAAGAAACCAGCCAGAATCACACACAATTGTCCAAAACCAGATCTTCAGTTTATTTTTTTTTTTAAACGTGCATTACGCCATGAATTCATAAGGAATTGGCTCCAGCAGCTCTGGTTCCTTGCCATTAGTTCTCACAAAGTGTGCTTCCCTTGGTGGAGCAGGCTGTAAACAGAGTTAAAAAAAAAAGAAATAAGAAAACTCATGGAACTAAAACTCAAAACAAACCTTACCCAAAATTCATTTTGACCATCACATTATTATATTAACATGACAGCACTTTTACCATTCCTAGTCTCTTTAAAGTTTGATTCAAAGAACAGCAGTAAGAAAATGATCTGCTCGAAAGCGTGCTTGACTTTCAATGCTGAACGAAAAAACTTAAACTCTACCCTCTGCAATTTACCAATCCCAAGTTATCATGAAGTGACGCACCCTGGGGCTGCTGAAGCAACAGCCATTATCTCCTTTCTAAAATCCAGTTTTTCATTCTTTTCTTAAGGAGATGCAACAGAAACTGTTGCAGCTAAATTCAGCTAAACCAAAGACAACACTCATCCTAGAAATCAGTCAGAGCTTCTGCTGCAGATCAGGAGCGGAACAGAAAGCATCCGGCCCTTTGTTCATGGCCAAGGATAAAATTTCCACCCAAGAACAGTGCAGTCCTGTTCAGGCACCAGACAGTTGGGATGCAGACACACGGCACTCTGCCACTCTGCTCTTCAAGCGAAGAGGTAACCTCCCGCAAAGGACTGCGAACCCAAGTAAGGGCGGGAGCAACAGACATCTCCCACAATCTGCCAGACACCTGGATTTTTCAGAATACTGTAAGCAGCTTCGTTAATGTGAGGTTGTTTTTTTGGGATTTGTTTTCAAAGCCAGACAGAAAGAGCTCAGTTTGCAGCATAACACACTGTTGTTTTGGAAGAAAATATTTTACTAAACTGGTTTGGTTCTAGCTGTTTGGTTTTTGGTTGTTTTGGTGTTGGGTGGTGGGGTTTTTTTTGTGAACTAATCAAGAATGTGTCAACTGTAATAGAAACGTTACCTGACGTTTCAGTTGAACCCAAATGCCTTTTTCTTTTGCTTCTTTTTTCTTCTTTTCATTCTCCTTCACACGCTGCAGAAAGCTGTCTCTGCTCTTGGAATGTTTAATATGCTCAATACGCACATTAATTCTTTTGGCAAGAATCTTGCCCCTGAGAAAAGAAATCAGTTTTTCATCTACTGCACTTGAAAAAAGGTTACTTCAAGGCTAGTTTTATGGCCCTTACTTGGGTAACTCTGTAAGCTTAGTAACAGATAATTTTTCTTTGAAGGGCAGTAACTCAATGTCATGGTTTCATGTGGGGGGGGGAGGTTCTGGGGCAGGAGCTGCCCATCAGATCGGACTCCCAGAGTCCTCTGTTCTTGTCTCGACCCTCAGCTCTTTTATTATATTCTTCTCCTCTCAATTTACTGGAGTGGGAGACTGGCTGCGTGGAGTCTAGTTGCCAGATTGGCCTAACTCACGACACTCAAAATATACTGCTGCAGATGCAAATCAGATATAACTTATATAACTGAAAGCTTGCTAATTAATTAACAATATGCTGACAATTTAGGATTAAGATTGTGGAGAACACATCATTCTAACCTTGCAGCATTCAGATGAAGGACGGTATTACCACTGTACTCCAGGCAAGTTACTGGAAGAAAAACAACTTGTCCTTTTCTGACTAAGCTGTGCAAAACCCAGCTGGATACAGCTACAAATTAACATTTTAAAAGGGCTCCAGTATCATTGTGCAAGTCAGCTGAAAACTCCCATTAGGTAACATCACTTTAAGCGCTGCTCAGAAAAATAAAAACTGTTTCCTCTGACAGGATCCAAGTCAAATGAGCGTCATTTGCTTGGGTTATAAAAAGGATATATGCTTTACCCACCTTGAATGACCAATCAAGACAATAACTGTCTAACTGGCAAAGTGACAGGAGGGTGCAATTACAGACCGACTTTCCCAAATACCAAGTTTCAATACACAGAATTTCATTACTTACTTAACCTGCTTGTTAACAATAATGCCCACAGCGTGCTGAGTAACATTATATACCCTTCCAGTCTTGCCATGGTAACACTTGTGGGGCATGCCTTTTTGAACAGTACCCATACCCTGTTAAGAGGTAAAACAAGAATACAGTGTAAACTTTAACTTGGGGGGGCACACAGGGGGAAGTAACATCAAGGGACTTTTCTTCATAAGATTTTTGAAGTACACATTTCAAATTACTTGAGATTGATTTAAAATTACTCCTATTTTATTCATGTATTAGAATATATAACCATGCATTTTATATCTGAAGACTACCAAATTCTGCTATGACAATTCTGGTTGCTTTCAGTGTCGGTGAAATGATTGATCACTTTGCTTTCAGCAAGCAATCACGGGAGAAAATCATCATCAAGCTCCAGTGTGTCAAAAAGCGTTAATTCTGAACAGTGCAGTTCTCCAAGAGTCAAATTACAAACAAGCAAGTTACACACCATCTTTATGCGACTGTTTCGAAAATTTTGCGTTTCAAACTAAACTACAGTATTCAACCAAGTAGGAATCCTTGGTGAAAGGCTTTCAGATTCACTACAACTTAATTTTGGAAGAACAGTTGATTATAAAGGACAACTTCTAGAAAATACCAAGTGATGGGAAACGTTGCTTTTCCCCCCTGTATTAATAAACACGATGTATCCTTACATTTACTCTTGCTTTCTAGTTTTAATGTGGCTTTGCAATCACCATGCCTGTACATACTTGTTTTAAGTATAGTCTTACAATGACAGAGCCACAGACATAACTACCAGCCACATCACCATAAACTATATATAAAAACCCCAAATAAACCAGCATGTGACACTGAAGCATCACTATTGTTTCAGCAGCATTGTCATTCCATTACTGCGCCAAGCTGAGCAGCGGGTACTTGTGTTGACACACAACTCAAGTAACAAAAAAAACCTACATCAATAAACCAGAGACTGTAAAGGATTACACTGCTTTAGCTTTTAATTACATAGCACTCTAGAAAAGTACCTTGATATCAACTATATCACCCTTCTTGTAGATGCGCATATAGGTAGCCAGAGGAACGACTCCTGTTACGAGATACAAACATGGGATACTTATGAAGCTCACAATTTCACACACAGAGAGACACACACCCACCCCCCAAATGGCGTGGGAAGCACAGATCATACATTTGATAAAGTTCTCTTAAAAAGGCTTCAAATTTAAATTCTATTCCAAAAACCTAAAACTGAGAAATCAAACCATCTATTTTTTTTTCAAGGAGCAATTACCTCTTCACATGCTCCCAATTTAAAAAAAAAAATCAACTAAACAAAACTTACAGCTTTAATCTTGCTCCTAATGCAAAAGTTGAAAAAGCATTACAACTATTTACAACTTCATTGTGAAAACAGCTGTTATTGCTGAGGCAACAAACTATATTCTAAGTGTAACTTGAAATATTTTCTTTGCCTTCAAAATAATTTTCAAGCATTGATAGAATTAGCATTGTTACTACTGTGGAGCAATAAGAACACCACTACATAAGCTGTAAGAGGTGAGAATTCACTTGCACTTCATTCTACAGTTTTTAGCCCAAGTTGTCAGATATCCTTTGACATAGCTATTGTTCCACAAATGCTACTTAGGGACTGTTGACATCCAACAGGTCAATAACTTCCTGCAGTGTTCTTACTACAAGGTATACTTACCATGTTTGCGAAACGGTCTTGAGAACATATAACGTGTCCCCCTCCTCTTGCCCTTTGTGTTCGTCATTTTGGCTGATTACTGCAAAAATGAATGCAAGTTATCCAGGTCTACTAGTTCATTCACTAAAAATGTGACTAAAGCATTTTCAGACATTTCAAAAAAAACAAGTCTTTAAGCCTATTCAAAATGACATTACTGCCAAATTGCCAGGTCCATTCAAGCACCGTTGTTAGCTTTGACATCCACAGGAAACCATATTTAGAGGACCATAACGTAACACAGGTTAGAATGGATGCTAGCAAATCACCTAGCTCAACCTCCTGCTTGAAGCAGGGTTTAAAAAAACAAGTCTTTAAGCCTATTCAAAATGACATTACTGCCAAATTGCCAGGTCCATTCAAGCACCGTTGTTAGCTTTGACATCCACAGGAAACCATATTTAGAGGACCATAACGTAACACAGGTTAGAATGGATGCTAGCAAATCACCTAGCTCAACCTCCTGCTTGAAGCAGGGTTTACTATGAGATCAGACCAGGTTGCTCAGGACTTTGTCCAGCCACATCTTGAAACCCTTCACTGATGGAGAGAGACTACCGGCCTCCCTGGCCAGCCTGTCTGGAGGCCTGGCTGTTCTCCGGATGAAAAACTTTTTCCTTATATTCAGTCTGAGCTTCTAATTTTTACTTAAATCAGTCGGCTCATATTCTGCCACGTGCTCCCGTCAAGCATCAGAATCCCTCTTGCTAACGGCTGCTGCTAGGCGCCCCTCAAAGACATCTCTGCTCCAGGCCTAGTAAGCCCAGTTCCTTCAGCCTCTCCTCACAAGATATCCAAAAGACAAGATCTCCATTACCACATTTATCGGCCTCTATTACGTCTGACACACGGCGCACACACTCC